TCTTGACAAATGCCAGCTTGGGGATGAAGTCCGGAAAAAGACTGAGAAGCTTGATTCTGCCGGTAATTTGTTTTTTAGTAAAATTTATTTTGAGTCCAAATGCATGTGTTTTCTTTTCATCATAATTATCTCTTTTAAAATATTTCCAGTTTATGAAAATGGAGAGAATTGGAGTGTGGGGCAAAGACAACTAGTCTGCCTTGGGCGTGTGCTCCTAAAGAAAAGCAAGCTTTTGGTTCTGGATGAGGCAACGGCCTCGGTTGACACGGCTACTGATAATCTAATTCAGCAGACTCTCAAACGCCACTTTACCGACTCCACAATAATAACAATCGCTCACAGGATAACCTCAGTACTTGACAGTGATATGGTTTTACTCTTGGACAACGGTAATTCATTGCATTAATTTTTATCGCACTTCTGTGAATGAGATTAACTAACTCCATGCTTTGTTTGTTACTTTCACGGTGCAGGACTGGTGAAAGAGTATGATACTCCGGGAAAGTTGCTTGAAAACAAGTTTTCTTCGTTCACGAAGCTCGTGGCCGAATACAGCATGAGGTCGAGCCCGAGTTCTGAGAATCTTTCAAGTGCCCGTGTGTAATACCAAAACGTATCCACTACATTATTTATTATTATGACGAGAAAGTAGTAGTTCAAAGTATTGTATATAGAATAATTTTATAGAAGTTGTAGTTACTCTATCCAATTACTTGTGATCTTTTAGGGATGAAGTGTATTGTGTTTTCTAGACCATTAGTGGATTCAGGGTTGATAATGAGAAGTAAGCATTCATTTTTGTTATATATTGTTGAATTCTTTAGGGGCTGATTGTGTTGTATGTGACATTAAACCAATTTTCCAAATAAACCAAAGATAACATTCCCCAGCAGGTTGTAACAACTAACAACACTGCTTATGGCAGACACTCGGTCCATTTTGACATCAACTTTAAAACAAAAACTTTACAAACTCTTTTTTCCGTTTCTAAGTAATTAATGATTAGCGAATTTGACCATACAGTTGACCTGCCATTTTTTAAAATTGGTAATTCTTATTATATATATATAGATTTTTAGACATAAATCCATGATAATTAAGATATATAATTAATAAAATTATTATTTATTGTCCACCAAGTCAAATCAAGAATAGAAAAAGGATTATATCAAATTTTAGGATAACGAAAGAGATTATATCAAATCAAGGACCAATGAAATTGATGTCTTCTTCTCGAAGGTTCTCTCGTGTATACCTATGGCTCTCCTCAAAGCCACAAAAACACACCTCATAATCAAATCTCAAATTCAAGATCTCTCAAGAACTCCCTTGAAGATTTGAAGGCGTTTTCGAAAGTCCAAGATGCTCAAGTTGAAGATCAACGTTCTATTCGGAATCAAGCGTCCGAGCCTTCGGAGTACCTTTAATGGAGAAGAAGACCAAGAAAAAGAAAAAGAGGCGGTGGCGGCTCTTCTCCAAGAAGTAAAGAGACGACCATTCCTCTCAAATCATTCAAGAACATCAATGACGTTCACACAACATTCAAGCCACGTTCGTCGAGAAGTTCAAGCAAACATATCGTTTGATCCAGAAAAAAGCTCTCAAGCCCTCGAGTCAACGTTATTCAAGAGAAAGATCGAAAAAGCAAGTCCTCAAAGAAGTTGCTTCCAATCAAATCAAGTCCAAACCGTTTAATACGGGATCAAGTCATTCGACCCCTCAATTAACGTTAGACAAATTCAAATCAAGCCCGAAAGAGATTCAACCGTCAAATCCATCTTTCAATATCTTAAGCCCAAAGCCATGAAGATAATAATCAGAGGAGACATATAGAGATTGTACCTTTAAAATCGTTTGATCAATATCTCAAGCCCAAATCCATGAAGAAAATAATCATAGAAGACATATAGAGATTGTACCCGTAAAATCGTTTGATCAATATTTTAAGCCCAATGAAGAAAATAATAAGAGGAGACATTGTTTCATTAAAATAAAATAAAGTTCTACAAAAATTTTGTGAGTTCATAAAATTCATTGTTACACATGGGCACAACCGGTTTCCCTTACTTCAATTTAAGGTAGACATGGCCAATTGGCGGGCCGGGCCGGCTCGACGGGCCGAAGGGTTGGGTTAAGTCGACCCTGAACCGGCACGCCCTAAATCCGTGCCGGGTCCATGGCCCGCCAAAATAAAAAAAAAATAGAAAAACTAAAAAACAACGGGTTTTTTTCGTGTCGGATCCGGCCCTGCCCGCCGGGTCGGTGTCGACAAAATGAATGCCCTGTACCGACCCGTTAGCAATCCAAGCCGGACCTGGACCCGTGGTCAACGGGTTTGACCGTGCCGGGTCCGGGCCGGGTCGGCGAGCCGGTTGACCCGGTGGCCATGTTTTTTAAGGAAATAAATTGTGTCCCAATAAGAAAATAAAAAATTGTTGGGATCCAATGCAAGCAATGTGGCAAGGGTATACATGTCATTCCCCCATGGCCAACTTGCCAGTGTACTTTTCTTCTGTCGAACAGAAAAGAGAAAAAATAAAAGAAAAATCCGAAGAGGAGCCATAGCTCTCGGACAACAACAAACCACGATGAGCTTCTCATCAGCTACTAGATTTCACCTCTTCAAACTCCGCAAAAAGCCCTAGATTCTCCCTTTACCCGCCACCGAATATTTGAATCTCTTCCTACTTCTATCCCTTTCATCATTTAATTCCTATATTTGATCATACAATAATTCCATGGACGCAGCAGCTGCGGCCGCCGCCGCCGCCGCCGCCGCCGCCGCCGCATCGGAAACCCCATTTGTCCGCCGGTCATTTTTCACTAACAATTGGAACCCCTCGTTGCTCGTTCTGCATAGGCCCGCAGTAAATCTTACGCCAAAGTTTCCACCCAGAAAACTCAGCTGCACCACTTGTTGTACGTCGCCGTACCACTCCCCGATCTTTTTATTCAACTCAAATGTTAGGGTTCCCTTTCGGTTGTGTTCCTTCAAAACCAGTTGTTTGAATGATAATATCAGTGAATCGGCGAGGGCTGTAAGTTTTGAGAATATTTTAGCAAGGAGAAGAATAGCCATTGCCGCCGTAGCTGTTGGGGTCCTCTTTATATTTAGAGGGCAAACGGCATTGGCGGTGGAGGGTGTTGTGAGTGCGGGTTACGGGGTCTGGGAGCGGAGCTTGTTGGCTCTGAGGAGCTCATGGCCCAAGGTTTTGCAGGTTTTGACTCTTTTCAGGGAACAGGGTTTGATTCTTGCGGCTCTACTAGGGCTATCTGCATTTTTCTCCATGGCAGAGACCTCCATCACAACGCTTTGGCCTTGGAAGGTATGGGGCAATTAAATGTGGGATATGTGTGTTGGGGGATAGCCTTCTAGAGTTGTGTAATGTTGCACTAGCTGGTGTTAGATTAAAAGTGACATTTTTTTTTTTCCACATTCTCAAATCCTATGGTGTTAGATTTTTATGCTGAAGAATGCGCTTCTGGGATGAAGACTTGAAGCCAAATACCTTCCTGTCATAAAAAATTAGAAATTCACTTTTGTCCTTTGTGGAGTATGCACATTGACTTAAGATGTCATGTGAAGTACTAAAATTCCACACAATTTGTTGTAACTGAAACTTCAGAAATGGGGTGTATTGTAGATTTGATCGTCACTCCTTTGCTTCCTAATACTTTTGGCAGTGTCCAGAGGCAAAATTTTGGTATTGTCTCTGGTGATTGTAATCTGATGGAAACACTTTGAGTAGGTTTGTGGATTATATTTTGTTGGTAGGCACCTATTGTTAGCTATGGTTTAATAAATTGTATACTCATACTTCTCTATTTTATGTCTGTTAAAAAATTGACTGCTGCTGCATTCTGTGAAAGTTCACATGTAGCTTTCTTCTATTCCTTTCTTCTGTCCTATGGAAAGTTCACATTTAGCTAATGCTGTACTGGATACAGGTGAGGGAATTGGCTGAAAAAGAGTCAGAGAATGGTGTCTTCAAAATGCTACGAAATGATGTTACTCGGTTTCTGACGACAATCCTCATTGGCACCACGTACTGCTCTTGTTGAAATTACAAGTAGTTATTTTGTTCTTTTGAATGTGAACATAGTCCTTATCTACATATTTTATTTGCTCAGAGTTGTGAATATTGGTGCTACAGCATTAGTCACTGAAGCTGCTACAGCCATATTTGGTGAAGCTGGTGTCAGTGCAGCTACTGGAGTCATGACAGTAGGTCTAGAGATTTAATTTTTACTTTTAAATAGTAAAAAATCAAAGTGATAGTAGATGTGGATATGCTGTGGGAATATGATAAAGAGAATGTTGCTATTTCTGAACATCTGCATTTAGGGTGCAATATCGTAATATACCGATTTTATAGTTCATTCTGAATAATGTGTACCATATATGATCATTTCGCTTTTCTCTACTTTTTCCTATTTATTATGTAAATGTCATTACTGAATACTATTGATAAGTAATCTTGTTATTGAAATCAACTATTCTTTATCTTTTCTAATGATTTTGAGAAACTATTGTAATTGTGCTTGTTTTACCTTAAGCTGAGAAGGGACATCACTTTTAAAAATGAAGTTCTTGCAAAAATACTATTTGTTATTGTTTTTACAGTAATTATTGCTTTTATGTATTTTTCCTTCCCCTTCAAAGTGCTGGGTAAGCCTGAAACTACAAGTGATGCCAGGTTGCTATTCTGCTTCTCACTGAAATTACTCCGAAAAGTATAGCTGTTCACAATGCCACTGAGGTCGCAAGGTTTGTGGTAAGTTTTGAGCTGGTAAAATTTTTAACTTCAAACTAAAATATGATCAAAGTAAAATGCTGATCCAATTGCAATATGCCCAAAAAAATATGTTGAAAGCAAGGGAAGATAGTTGTTGTAAAATTGTGAAAAATTATGCCTTAATACAGCACTGATAAACTGCTATCCCGATTGCATTTAGGTCAGACCAGTGGCATGGCTTTCACTTGTACTGTATCCTGTCGGCAGAGTCGTAACATATTTGTCAATGGGAATGCTGAAATTGCTAGGTTTGAAAGGAAGAAGGTGAGGTTTATCACTGATTGGAATTCTATGTCACTTCTTTTATATGCTTTCTATGTCTGTTATGTCTGTTAAATGAATATTCGAATGTCCCCAATCGTTTTTATCATAATATTAGGTGTAAAACTGATTTTCAATGGTTTCAGTTATTTTAGAACTATGTAGCAGAGGTCAATTTTACAAAGGGCAATTACGCCAATTTTGATACAAGAGCTGTTAAAACAATTCTGGTAAACTTCAAAGTTATTTATTTATTTTCCTTCTCTCTCAGTTTCTTGGAAAATAAGTGTAGATCCTATTATTGAATAGTGTCTCTCATATTAATATTATGCATCAATAAGCCCTCATGAAATACTGTTACAAATTTGCCTCTTTATCTGTTGTTGTTTGTTGACTTCCTGTTTACACAATTCGCTTATGATTCCATTAGATTGCTTACTTTCTATCTTGTAATGTAGCGAACCATATGTAACTGAGGATGAACTAAAATTGATGTTACGTGGAGCTGAGTTAAGTGGGGCAATTGAGGAGGAAGAACAGGTAATAGTTTTGTTATATCATTATGATGATTTTCTTGCACGGTTTAAGTTAGTATATTGTGCTGCAATAATTTTATACCATCTATCATGTAAAATTGCATAGTTTTCTGTTTCAGTTGAAAAAACACAAATTGTGTAATGTGCCAAATTAATTAATGATGAACAAAAATGTGTGTATAGATTTTATATTATATACTTGTCATAGATGGAAATTTATAGTATGAGATCCTTGCCAGGACATGATTGAAAATGTGTTGGAAATAAAAGATACTCATGTTAGAGAGGTGATGACACCTCTTGTTGATGTTGTTGCCATAGATAGCAGTGCAACACTTGTTGATTTCCATAACTCCTGGGTGGAGCATCAGTACTCCAGGTAAACCTTGGTGTTGTCAGTTTTGTTTTTCCCCTTTTTGATTAGTCTAAGAAGGTAAAGCACATGTAGGGTTCCTGTCTTTGAGGAGCGAATTGACAACATTGTTGGTATTGCATATGCAATGGATCTTTTGGATTATGTGCAGAAGGTAAAAAAAAATAAAAAAAAAATGTCTTTTTCTATTCCAAATCTTGGTTTTCATTTTTCCTGATTGTACACAAAAACCTCTTAACGTGCAAAATTATGTATTCTGTTTGGTTTTGAAGGGGGAACTTCTCGAAAGTTCGGTGGTGGGAGATATGGCCCACAAACCTGCATACTTTGTTCCTGGTAAATTCCAGTTTCTAATTTTCATATTAGTTTCTCAACTTGCATGGAGTACAAGCTTAACACTTGCACCTTAGATGATTGTTTGGTGAAGAACGGGACTTCCACTCTATTCTTCCTTTATTCATTTTTTGTTAGATCTCCGGCACATCTTTGAATATGTAGCTGGTGTGAGAAGCACAATTATCATTATCTCAAGCCACATGTATAGTATTTAAATCCGAATTCCACTTTTTGGTCATGTCAACTGTCAAGAGTTACAATTCCAGATTGATGCATATCGGCTCTCTTAATTTGAAGTAATTCTGTGTTTATTTACTTCAATTTTAACACCTTCTGTATCTACAAATCCATAATATATTTCAGATTCAATGTCTGTGTGGAATCTTCTTAGAGAATTTCGCATCAGGAAGGTACACATGGCTGTTGTTCTGAATGAATACGGAGGAACAGTTGGTGTAAGCTATTCTTCTTCTCTGTTTTTGCGTTTACAGCTTATTGGTTTTGCTGATACATATAGGCAGAATTTCTGCTCCAAGCAAATCTTTGGTATAATATATATTTTTTGTTGTTGTAACAGATTGTGACCCTTGAAGACGTGGTTGAAGAAATTGTTGGTGAAATTTTTGATGAAAATGATTCAAAGGTAAGGTTGTCTGTCTCATTCTAATGTTTAATTATTTCTTTATGAAGTGGTACTACAATTTAAACACTGTACGGAGTCTTCATAAGCTGTCATGTCCTCACTGTTGTATTTAATGAACAGTCTTTTGGAAATAGTTAGTGACACATGGCACGGCAGTCGAGATATCGTGTTTTACTGCCCATCAATAAATGTTTCGTGTGCACTTTGTACTTTTGCTACTTGTTACTTGTTAGGCACTCTGAATGCATGTTTAGAAAACGTAGATACTATTAGAGTGGAGTACTCAGGACCCTATATTTGGACTGCATACAAGATCTCCCAGATTATTGATAACTATTTTAAAATCTCTCTATTTGAGTATTTAACTTAGTTTTTGTGGATTTAAACTATGATATTGCATGCGTACAGTGAGTCACTACTTGATTGGAGATCTTGCTCTCTAAAGTTAAAGATTTCAATTTAGTGCTTCAACCATCTGGTTGTTATGATGTGCTAATAATACTAATGTTTTATGTACTGGTTGGTTATACTGGAGTTCTTTCATTGTTGAATTGCTACTACAAGTGTTTCACCTTATACTTTCGCTGTGCCAGGAGGAAATTCGGAAAAAAACTGGATATGTGGTTATGCGTGCTGAAGGTATATTTGACGTGGATGCTAATACATCTATCGACCAGCTATCTGAAGATCTAAACATTAAAATGCCAGAGGTATTTTAGTGTTTGCATCTACAATTCATTTGTCTGCTTCTATTATAAATTTAGCATTCTTCTGCATTCTTAGTAATTTGGAATTGGGTCACAAAATTCTATATGCCCACGCTTACGACAATGGACGAGTAATATGTGTTTTTAGGATTCCTTTTCTGTTTCTTGGTTTGTTTGGAACTTGTGGAATAAATTATATAACTTGACAGTTAAGTTGTAAACTACGTTTCATGCATCTGAAGCTGCTCTCTCGTTCAGGGTCATCAGTATGAAACAGTGTCAGGTTTTGTCTGTGAGGCATTTGGATATATCCCGAGGACAGGTGAGACCATAAAAGTGGTCCTTGAAAGAGCTTGTCAAGAAGATCATGGTGATTATAATGGGGCAGAATCTAACCGTCTAGATGAAAATGAGAAGACTCATATATTTAAACTTGAGGTTGGCAATATACATTATCCTAACCCCTTTGTTCTCATTCCTTCCTTTTCATTTTGTTTTTAAACTTAACTAATCATTAAAAATGGAATACTTACGAGACAGGGTGATATGCTTGAGGTTTTGGATAACAGACAAATTGTTTGCTTGTAATGACATAAATAAAGACAAGTTAGATGCAAATTGTTTGTTTGTTACCTCATGATCAAGTTTTAGCGTTCCACCTTGCTTTACGACTAGTTAAGAAATCTCCAATGTATTAATGTCTGTCCATTTGATTGGTGTGCAGATATTGGCTGGAAATGCAAGAAAGGTTAGTGCTGTTCGGTTTGAACGAATAAACAATGAAGAGGCGTCATCAGGGGCCAAAGACGTTACTGTTTTGGTAACGAAAATTAGGAAAATGAAATCAGGCAGTGAAGATGAATTAGTTAGGACAGAGTTTGATGAGGATCCAGTTCACCAAGTAGCAAATGATTATGTGCCTATACAGGAAGACAGTAATAAGGATCAGTCGAGCAATTAGTAATTGTATTCACTAAAAGACAAGCAAGAAAAAGAAGAGAGAGGGAGAGAGAATCGAAAAGTTGAATGTAGTTTCATTGCTCATTCTTTTCCCATATGAGTTGAAATGAAAGTGCGGAGTAATTTTGGTTTAGAAATAAATACTGCTGCAGTTTTGTGCATGATTTAGCTGCAAATGAACTTCCAAAGCTGAAAATATGTTGAGAAAGCCCCAACAAAGGGAAGGAAAGGACAGATGGCGGACTGTTCGTTGTGTCTGATGGCTTTGTCTTTGTTCGGCTGACCATATCTTAACCCTTGCACGTTCGAGGAACAAAAACAATGTGGAGCTAATGTGCACTGATGCCATGGAGTGCCTTTTGGTGTTTTCCTTGTGTGGAGATATTTTGTTCTTTGTTCTTTCTT